TTTTTAAAAAAAAAAAAAAAAAAAAAAAAAAAAAAAAAACTCGTTCCATTCTATTCCACTTTAACTGAATCATAAATATTACCTTAGAAACTTATAGACGTTGAAGCAAACAAAGAAGACAACACGATTACGATGACACAACAAAACATGTTTTCAAGTACTGTATTTCAACCTTGGACAACCAAACAAAATATAACCACCCTATAAACTCAAAATATTTATCATTGATAATTCTTAACACCAAATGTTATGAATCGCACATTTTCCCAAAGCCTACCAAACGTAAATATATGCCAGTATCTGTAGTCTGTGATGTAGTGGCGTAAATGTCACTTTATTTAATTAAACAACTGAACACGGCAATAGCAGCTTCACACAGACAAACATATATCATATGCTTAGGAGTTAGGTCCGTTTCATCTCATGCTTAGTCTGTTTTAGGTTCACAGACAACAATTACATGACAAATATTAAGGTGTAATGTCTAAAACGATATATAGTTGTGCATTTAAGGGTCCTAATGAGCGGCAAGGGGCACTCCAAATTTCTGAGTTAGGCTCTTAATGTATTCCTTTCTAGAAGGATTGTCTTCCTGTGGTCGATTATATGCTGTCCACACTGGTTCGCCCTTAAACAACCTCATTAACTGCACACAAGCACATATATGTACATTAATTTTGATATATTTAAACAATCTTAAAACAGCATGAATTTTATTTTCCACAATCCCAAAAATGAAGCCGTAAAATGAGTGTTATTAGCATAAGAATTTGGTACCTTGACATAGTTAGTTGGGTCTAGGGTGAAGCGGTGATAGATTCCAGCAGGTAAAATGATAAGATCACCGGCTTTTATCAAAATGCGAATCCAGCGATCATGTTTGTCTCGCACATCGAAGTACCCCCTTCCTTCCAAACAATAACGAATCTCTTCATCATTATGAATGTGCTCAGTATAGAAGTTCTTCAACTTCTCCTCATAGTTTTCCACCTTTTCTGGGCATAAATCAAGCAGATCCTACACCATATCCAAATATAAATATGACAATTTTGTAGCAAAAAATTGTATTATTAGTTACTTCGGATATTTTATATAAGTTTTTGAAACATAAGACATCGGTGACTGGTGTCATGTTTAAATCAGTTTATTGCAAGGAAACATTATTTTCACCAACTTCTAAAAAATAAAAATAAAAAAATTAAGCATTCCTAAACAACAAATCAGCATGCTAAGAGTGCTAACCCCCCACTGCCAAAAAAGCAGGGTCGTGTTTTGGAAAACAAATAAAATAAATCTTTACTTGTTAACCCAAAAAAAAACATGAGTACCACAACCCTTAAATTCTAGCGACAGTCATGTTATTCGTTAATCAATGAAGAAACAATTTAAGCACGGCTCAATTACACCAAATAAATTAAAATAAATATTAAGAGATATGAAGTTTCAATCTAACAGATAAATTTTTATTTAATAAAATTATTAAGTAGTGTAACACTTTACACTAATATCGTTTAAACTCTCCTTTTTAATTAGAAGTATTTTAGTTTAAAAATTATTAATACATTAAACCTTATATAAAAAAATAAATAATTATTTTAAGTTGGAGTTGAAATTTATCTATAACATATATAAAAGATTTTTGGTGTAGACATTTTTTACATAATTTTATCTTTTAATTTTTAAATAATAAAAATAATATTAAAATTTAATTATCCTTGTAACAGAAAATTCAAATTCAAAATCTTGAAATTTAACACTTAAATATAATATTAATTAATCTAAAAAATATTAATAATTTTTATTAAATAAAATATAGAATGAAAAGGTGAGTTGACTTTTGATAAATATTAAATAGTAATGGAAGTTGTAAATACGTACCATGTAGTTGTATCCCCGAGTTTCTCTAATGTTGGTCAACTCTAGATCGTTCTCATAGTTATTCGGATTCAGCTGCCAGTATAAAACTCCCAATTCTGGAAAACACACCACCAACGTGACAATGAAGTCAAATTATAGAGACACGAAAAGAAAGAGAGATAGAAAAGGTCACCTGCTAATTGGTCCAATGAAACTAATTCGTTGGGGTTGCGACGGTGAGGAACCCTCGGATCTTCATTGCTATCGTCCATCAACCATGCCTGTAATGTCATGTCCCAATTTTTTTTTATTAATAAGATTCAGATTACTTACTTCATCGCTACATGGACAGGAACTCACCTCAATCGCCATGATTATGATTCACAACTTTCAATCACGCCTCTTATCTGAATCGGACTCCTTCTTCATATGAATTGAAACCGGCGAGAGCGAGACTACCTTATATATCTCGCATCACAGCACATAAAAACAAAAGTAATTAAAAAAAACCGCACTATATTATTGTGGCACATATATTTCTTCTTTATTTTTTTCACCATTCCCTCTTTCAAGGCGTGACGTGTGTACGTACATGTGGCGGGCGTTTCCACCCGTGAAAAATATCCTCATTGTCGTTTTATCAGATTATTTCTTCTTGTTGGGCGCTTACGCAAATGGCTCCACTCTCTAGTTAACTTTATCTAATTTTGTGGCTCAGACAACTATTTTAAATTCCAGAATATCAGTTTTTACATCACGAGACAATAAATTTAGAAATTTATATAACTTATCATATTTTGCCAGTCACAGAATATAGTATACAATACTATTTTAGATTAAGATATAAATTCAACAATTATTTTTCTTGTCAAATTCAAAGGCTGTCCGCGGCTAAAAGGATGACATTATGGCATACAAAATATCAACATTCAGCGAAACTACTAGTAGTCATACAAACTGAAACATTCAAAATCAACAATGGAGTAAACAAACACGGGAAGAGTAAGAGACTAGTTTGGCTTGCACAAAAGCTATTAACATTTAACAACAAGCAGCGCAATGAATTTACATATCTTATATTCGTAGGAAAATGGCTGCTCCTAGCTCTACATTTCAGCTCACAAAACCTTAAAACTTCAGTAACAAGAAATTCCCAGAGGATGAAATTAGATGGCTGATATTACAAAATTGATCAGGTAAGCACGACACTCCGCTATCCTAAACGAAAGAAATTTGCCCAGCAGTTAAACATACTAAAATTGACCAGTCTAAGAGCACTTCCAAGTCTTGCAGTAGCCTCCTATACATTGATCATCTCCCTTCGATCATCTACGACTCCCAACCCTGCATAATCTATCTAGTTTCACTTTTAGCATTCTTGAACATCTGCAAAAGCACTCGGACAACATAAATTTAGGACAGAAAATATTGAAATTTTCAAAAAATCGGTAACCTAGCAATCTAGCATTGAGACTGACGGTAACGGCTTATCATATCTTGGTTCACCATTTAGTTTTTAATCACCACCAAAAATATTATACTTTGTAAACAAAACATAAAATGGTTAACATCAGTTTATAAGCACAGTTTGTCAAATATCAATTCAGTAAGCAGGACAATCTGGTTTATTTCAGTGACTATAATTCTCTGATGCCATTTTAAAAGCTTTATGGCTAATTATTACATTTTTTATGGAAAAAAAATATTTTGTTACTTAATTGAAGAAAAGATTGAATTTGCAACTAACCTTTGTCATTGAGATCAATGGGAAGTGCAACTTTTATCTGGTTGTCAGCTGAACCACTGGAAACTAGAGGCAGTCGAGGCTGTGGTGGAGAGCTAGTACTACTACGGCTTGAATTCCCATTTGACGCATGGACCTTCACTGGAAGGTTCAAATACATCTCGAAGTTAGATGAAGTTATCCCCGTCAATTTCTTGCCTTTCAATCTTCCCCTAACCATAAATGGCAGATTAAGAGTACAAATCAGCAAGCTATCACTAAAATTATACACCAGTAACACAAGGGCTGGAATTGATGTCTATAAACAAATAGCAGTTCAATACTGCAAATACCTGTCCTTACGCTTTTCAAGATATCGCTGCAATGACATTTTTCTGCTTGCCTGACCCTCTACATCTTATGAAACACATATATTATGAATACTTAAGTTCTAAGAATTTGATGTATGAAAACTCATTACAATTTTGAAGCTAAAACAGCAACTCTTTGTACCTTCAAAGATAATTGCAATCTGAGATGAATATTATGTTACCATGTGGGTGAACATATATGAGTCATTAAAGTTGTATATCACTTATTTGATAATTTAACAATTTATTACAACAAAAACCTGCCTCTTATACCCATACTGATATACATAAACTAGTACATTAAATCCACGAGTTATCATATTACATTGATATTAGATTCACAAAGAACTATTAAGTTATGTTTACCAGGTATTTAAATGGAGCAGGTATTCATTACCTAGATACTTAAATGGCTGGCAATTATGAACATCAGCATCTCCACATATATCTTGTACAAGCAAGGGATCATATTTAGGGGGTAAAAACATAATTGATGAATGGTATCACCACCAGTACCCATACTTACATGATCAATTTAGAAGTACACATGTAACGCTACAATCCTACTCTAGTTTTAGTTTTTTCTAGTGTATGTGTGCCAGGGAGGAGAGGCGGGGTGTTACAACTAATAATTGGAATTTACCAGCAGACATGGTGGTTAAATATACAGGAGGCTCTTACTCCAAAGTGGAGATCACATCCCAGACTAAGGTTGAAAAGTAGTGGGATAACAACATACTCTTGGACCATAGAAGCAAAAAACAACAAAAGCCTTTTCCCATTGGCTACATGGATCAAACAAAGCCATCGTTTTCTATACAGTAATTAAACTTAAATCGAATAGGTGAATTCAGTCCTTCTTAATTCGAAAAGCCATTGTGTTCTATCCAGTAATGAAACTTAAATAGGTGAATTTTGTTTTTCTTTATTCAAAAAAACCATGACCTGGGATGCCTAAGAAAAAAAAAAACAGAAAAAGGACCTCAAAAACTTGCCCAATCAAATGAAACGAAATGACGAGCATATATTAACAGAAATTTAATAAAGGAATCAACATGCATGTAAATTCAGCCAAGTAGTTCATTGGACAAAAAATAGATCAAGGAAAAGTTCTAGAAGACTGTTGAAATTCCAAAGAATCCAAACAGTTAATTATACGTACCAGCATCACGAACTATGCTCCCTTTCTCTCTGTATGGCAGAGGATATTCCAACATCTTATCTGTAAATTCCAATTGAGAACATTAATTATAAAGTTACCAATACCATAAAAAGGTGTAATATGTGGATCTTAACATCTTTAGTTCCAAATAACACAATTTAGCACGAATTAAAAAAAGTCAAAGATGCTGTGCTTGTCTGTGTTCAAGATGCAAGGACTCCAAAGTTATAATTCTAAAATAAAGCATTTAGAGTGAACTTGGTCCTAATAATGCCTGCACATCCAATTATTTTTCAACTTGCACAGAACGGAAACAACCAGTAGCATGAAAAACTCAATGAAAATAGCCCATGAAATAGTACAATCGATAGAAAGCGACTATCAGCTTTAAATCCATTCATGAATTTTTTTTTTTCGTGTTAAGACAAAAGCAGAACAACTTGGCATTGTATCTTTATTCAAGAAATAAATTAAATCCAGTATTTAAGCTAATAAAAAAGGCTACAATAATTTTCTGCATCTGCTCATCAGATGAAATCATGAAACCATTCCTTTAAGAATTCCTGATTTTGATGCAGTGGGCAGTGAAGAAAACTCATTCCCTTCCACATCAGAGAACTAATACTTCAAAGAAAAATTAAGCAATCTTTCTACCCACTTGCTACCTGCTTGAGCAACCTGAAGTATTGTTGTATCAACAGGGACATCCATGGTCATGTGGCAAGGAGAAGTCCAAACTGCTGCATTTCCATTTATTGGATCATCTTGAGTAACCTGGACAGGATTTGCTGCAAGCTGCATGATTGCTCGAGCCTGCAAATCCGAATAGGTTGCACTGGTGGGTGAAATCTTATTGGATTTATGGCAAGCCATTTATGCAAGAGGATGAATCGTTACCAACCTTATCAGGTGAGACTCCATCATAGACATTCACCTTACCACAATAGAAAATTGTCATTTGTCCAAATGATCCACTAGTTGCACACCCTCTGTGACCAAATTTACAAGTAATGATAAGTAATGATAAGAACATGAATGGACAAGGCATAAAAGAAACACCGCCCTGCCTCCAGCCACTTAATCACTATCCTGGACTTCTATATTTGTAAAGAATGGCACAGGAGTAGCTCTGTTCATATGGAAAGTAGCTATATAATGAACATTTTGTACACTTAATCACTATCCTGGACTTCTATATTTGTAAAGAATGGCACAGGAGTAGCTCTGTTCATATGGAAAGTAGCTATATAATGAACATTTTGTACACTTAATCACTATCCTGGACTTCTATATTTGTAAAGAATGGCACAAGAGTAGTTTATAATTCAAACATCAGTCAGTGAATACACTACAGTAAATCTACTAAACCTGATGTTAGCACAGAGGAGAAGAGAAAGTTAGTTATCGAACGTTAGAATATTAGTCAGTTAGTTAGAGGGGGTTACTAACTAGTGAGTAATGAGTTAAATAAATAGAAGGATGCAAGGAAAGAGGCTTCATTCTGTTTTGTTATCATTTGGAATACCGAGCATTAGCTTATTTTGAGAAGGGAAACACCCTTGGAGGAGATTTTGTTCTCCTATGTTCTGTTCTTTTCTCTATTTTCTCATCCAGGTAGGTTCCTAACACCTAATTACAACACATCTGCTTTTTTTTTTCAGCTAGGTATAATTACCGCTCGCTGCAACTGAAAGGAAAATTTCCTAAAGATTCCATATCAACAAAACATGCTATTTCGTACCACATCCATGGCTGAAATCAAGGGTTATCGGTTATCCAAAATAAACAGGTTCAATCGTTTTGATATGGATAGAAATTTCACTCTAATTGGTTTGTGCTCCTTGAATCTTGAAATTTATGACGTTAAACCTAAAAGAAGCATAAAAGAATCACTTTTACATCTAATGAAATTCCCTTCTTCCTTTTGATAGTTGCCATATATTTAACCTGCATGAACCTTACCTTCACCTAAATAAAGGTATCTAAAACAACATCTACATGAAAAATTTTAAATTTCAGCAGCGTGAATGACAAACCATAGCCTAATCAGTACTTTCATGGTATTAAAACCTAGTCCTTTGGCCGTATAAGGTTGGACTTCAATGGAAAACAAGAAGCAACAATTAAACATTAATTAGTCGATAAAAGTGCAAACACAAAGCAACACATATAGAATCAACAATATTAAAGTTATAATTAAGGTTTTAAAACATGGCCAGCAACCGAGATTTTGACCAATGACCACAATGTAAAGGAAGGTTTTGAGTGCATAGTGCATCCGGAAGGTAACACTCTAATCATTCATCCCTCTCCTAACCCAGCTAGAAAAAAACAAAGAATCCACCGAATAAAACCCATAAAAATCCAAACGCTTAAATAACAATAAACCTTTTTCCGACCTCACTGACAAGAAGATCCAACCCATGATCACGTCTTGTATAGCTCAGAAATAACCTTAAAGATTTAAAAGGCCATAAACTGCAGGAATATACAAAATGTTCAATGCCACAGAAAGCACGGACTTTTTTTCATGACCACTTCACCAACAGCTTTGTCCTCACTTTTCCACCCACCTACATTCATTGGAATACCAAAACCCTACCGTCCTTTTCATCACCCGTATCACAAAAATAATATATAAAAAAATGAGGCAAGTTTTCAAGCTAATGCCGAAAGAAAATCTACTAAAAAAGCAAACTTTAACGCTTTAAGTTTTAAGCATCCAAATCAGTCTGCAACCCCCACTCCCAAATAACATACTGAACTTCAAAACATACCCCACCAACCATACAAGTTTTCCCCCAGCAAAGATCCAGCTAGCTTGGACGAGATTCCGCACCCCCAAAACCTTAAAAATATGATTAAAAAAAAAAAGTGGCAGTGACAGAAAAGGGCATGAAAAGAGATATAGAAACAGAGAAAAACCTGGGGCTAGCAAGGTTGGTATCATTGGTTTCCGTAGGTTTTTCCCCAGAAGAGGGAGAGTTGTGAAAGTCGTCGGCGGCATGAAAAGCGGGTGGTTCAGGAGGCGGGGCCTTAGGAATAGGTTGAGTGAAATTGGCCTGGAATGAGATTCATTGATAACATGACATTTTAGTGAGGAAGAAGCAGAGAGAAGAGAATAAGTCACAGTCACCTGGTGCATGGCGGGAGGAGCGTCATCGTCGGAAGGTTCGAGAAGAGCTTTGAGGCAAATGACCTGTTGGATCGCCTGCGATTTGTTCCAGGAAGGCCTGCGCATCCCTGTACGAACACGTGTCTTCTCCATTTATTTTTATTATAATAATAATAATAATAATCATCCGACATGCCGATGGATTAATAAATAGAAATATAATAGTAATAATAATGTATTCGGAATTTGGGGAAATGGAGGCTTCGAGGTAGCGGAAATCATGGAAGAGAAAAAAAAAAGGAGAGAGAGACCTTTTTCTTTGAGGAATCTGCGACAGTCTTCGCGAGTGAGCTGAGAAATGTCATCCTCGGTGAGCTGGTTGAGAGGCTTGTCGAGGATGGATCGGAAGGTGGCGGTGCCGCCGCCGTTCATGGCCTCCGATTCCGGCAGCCGGTGGCCGGTGGGACCATGAATTTGGAAGAGAGAGAGTGGGTGAGGGAGTGTCGAGTGTCGACAGCGTTTGGGTTTGGGGGGAAATGGGGGAAGGGTAGGGGGGAGCTTTTTTAGGACTTGGGGTGAACCCTAAGCTGCCACGTATGCTTCTGTCTTAATTATTAGCAACTAATCTTCCTCACCAATCTTTTTTTCTTTTTTCTTTCTTTTTTTCCCCTCCTCTCTCTCTAATTATTTCTTTTTCTTCGCCTCTCACACCCATGCCCTAGCTTAAATTCATTCGCTTAACTTTCTAAAACTTCCAAAATTACCTCCTTTTTTTTTACCACATGTCTTCTCTGTATCAGACTCTTGGAACCAATCTAGCTGAATCCACCAAACAAAGTGCCAACTCCAAGGCTCTTCAGGACCCAAAATTTCCACCATGACCCAAGTGCAAGGCGCATTAAATATGCTTGGAACAAAGAATCATACGTTGGTCAAGAGTAATATGATATTCCTAAACAAGTAAATATGTTCTCTATCGCGAGTCTTCAATCATGCATAACCAACCTTAGAAAGTTCCTATAAGACGGCCAGATAATGTTAGGCATGTTTTTCTTAGTTTTACCGTTAGTTAAAATTCTTTCTAATTTTACTGTTGGAGTATCTTAACAACTGACAAGTGTACCAATTATCTTTCACCAACCTTAGTTGTGTAGAAAAATAATATATCATAAGAGTGTCTTGCAGCTCATTAGAAGAGGTTATCAATTACTTTGAACTAGTTATCGATCGATACGTAATTCATAAGTACCATTTTTTAATCCTTATATGTTTACATGATGCAATAAATTCTCATATAGAATTATTTTATATAGATTAATGATTATTTCACACCATGCTCGAGTATAAGATGGACATTATGACCCAACTTATATTTTTTTAATTTAGATTGAAAATATTATTTTAATTAATTTGAGAAAAAAAAATACTAAAATTGAACCAATTTATTTATTTATTTATTTGAATTCATGATATTTCGACTTTTTTTGTCTTTTTCAAATAAGAACCCTTGGTTTATTTTTAGTCTATAAACAATATTAATTAAAATAAGAATATAGTTTTAAACTAATATACATTAAAAAAAAATAGTGACTGATTTTTTATTTAAGTGATAACAACATATATTTAATAAAAAAAATAAATATAAATAAATAAATAATTGTATTCAAATGATATATATATATATATATATATAAATGAATTATTGCATGTACATTCACAATTCAAAATAATGATGAGATTATGTAAAAATTTAAAGTTTTTGATAATGCATTACTTTACTTATAAGAAAGAGTTTTGTTTTTTCAATTACAAAAGCATATAATACAAAAGAAATAAAGGTTATTTTTGTCTTTCACTCTTAATTTTGTGACAATTCCTCATTTCAAAGGATAAACTTTTAACCCATGAGACCTACCATTTTTTCCACTCAAATATCTACAATCCCCTCTCCTAAGCACAGTTGTGTTTTGAAGATGCCCCTTAATCCATCCTCCTCCTTAGCAACCCCTTCTAAATCTACCCTACCAAAGGAAATGTAAATAAAAGAAAAACATACCATTAGCTTGAAATGTTTTTAAAAAATAAAGATTCAAAGTTCATAGATATAACAAATTAACATTAGGAACAATTTTTTTTTTTATGAAATGATATTGTATTATTGAAAATGATATTTTTGGGAATAATATAATTAGTGATATTATTACAAAAATAATTCACAAAACATTTGGTTATATTTAAACATTTTTATAAATATTTTAAAATTAAAATAAAAAAAGTTAGAACAAAAATCATAATAAACTTAGATAATAACTTCTCATATTCCCACTCCTCAACATGATATCAAAATAACTCAAAAATATGATATAATTACTTTTCTAAATATAAAAAGCACTCAAAAATAAATTTTTAAAACTTTGAATAAACTTAAGAATTTTACGTACATAAACTCTCATTTTCAAAAGTAGTGTTTTAATGTGTGAAACAATCACTTTGTGTTGCTCTCCACATTCTTACTCGATTACAGGGCAATCAACAATGTAACACAACCAAGGTCTAATTACCTTTTATCTCGTTGTCCATACTTGAATGTTATTTATTTTAACATGGTATAAGTATAAAATACTTATCACTAGAAACAATGAATAATCTTTGTCGATGACCTTAAGAGCAAGTTAAGTGTATATTATTCTTTCAACATAATTTATTTCACATCCAAATTTAGAATTGAACCTTAAACAACAATTAAGAGATCCAAACAATTGTTGTTTATCTCAACTGACATCTATTAATTAAATGTTGTTTAATGCGAAAAGTATTGGATCTCCTTAGGACAAAGGAAGATCTTTATATGTACTATTGTCACTGTGATGTGTTCAATGTCATGTCCTATTCTTCCTTCCTAACCCTTAAAACTTCCTTATCATACTTTTTCTTTCCCAAACAAATTCTCATTGTAACATGCAGACTTTGTTTGCTTTTATTTATTTCAAAGAATCTTTTATCTTCATTAACTTTCTTTCATAAATTAAAAATAATTATTTCTCAAATAATGTATTTCCCTTATGAATCTGATCCAAACCTATAACTTAATTCTTTTGACTTTCACCTGTTCAAATCAAATACGTTGTCTCAAACATCATTAATTTTAATTTTGAGTCAATAAATTATTCAACATCAACTTTTATATATTAAATATAAAAAGACTATCTTGTTTAAGAACCTTTTTTTTTAAATTATCTTTGACAAGATAGGTATTAGAGATTTTTTTAACTTTTTATACAAATCAAATTTTTATTTATTATATTTATGTATAAGTAAAATAATAATATTTTTAAAACAAATTGTTAATGATTAAAAATAATCTTTTATGATGATATAAGTTAGTTATCTTAAATCAAAAATATAATTTATGTATTTAAAAACATCTATTTATTAAAAAATAAATATAATTTATTTTTTAAATATAGTATTTATTTTATATAATTTATTATAAAGTTTAGAATGTGAGATGTAGATATTAAAATACCAGTTATTTTATATTGGATTAGATTGATTTTTCAATTTCTGAAAAAAGATAACACATATATTCAAATTAACCATGAAATGCGCAAGGTCTAATGTATATTTATATTATGAATCCTATAAATAATAAATAATTAATATGAGTAATATTAGGCTTGATTTTTTAAAGCATACGGCAAAAGGTCTGAATATAAAAAAAAAAATA